AGAAGCTGACTGCAATGACAGCAATGGTGATGAAGACAACTCCCATGATCCCATGCTACTTCACATCATCAAACTTTTATTGTTTTAATGTGAGAGAACCCCGAGCAGCAGAAATGACATATTATATGTTTTAGAGTTGAAAGACAATTGCCCCACAACAGTCAGAGACACTGGGATCAATGGACTGAAAGCACCGTCCACAATTCATTTATCAGGATTGTGAGAAGCAGTAAACACAGTTGCCTACTTACAGTAAGTGGGTATTTCAGTGAATGTCAGTCCAATATTCATTCTCCTTGTAGCTCTGTTTTGGTCTCCACCAACCCCTGAGAGAAATATCTGGGTCTCTAGCTGGTAAATGCTCCACTTTGTGCACTAGCTCCTCGCTAACTTTGTCAGTCTTCTGTTTGGTGCTGGTGAGGTCGTTCAGTAGTCAAGTAAACCTTTGCTGAGAACAGGGAATAAAAACGAAATTGATGAGAGTGGTGAGACTGAATGAGAACAGAGCTAAAAGATGCTTAAAAGGTCTGCAGAACGTATAGGGGAACCGCAGACGTCAGGTGATAATTGTGGGTTTGTCGCTTTGAGACGAATTGCAGAACTGGGTGACAATTATCTGTAGATTCATCTCCACAAACATCATCGTTCACACTGCACATTTGATCCACTGCTATTACAAAAATATTAATTACTGCAGCTTTAAGTTATTTTTCATGAGCTGTTTAGATTATTTAGTCTACATGTATTTCTTGCAACAAAACTACATAAAGTACTATATTGTTACAGCACAGTCAGACAAGCTTACCTGTGCAGACATATATAATCTTATACTCATACATGTGCAACTAAACACACACATATGTTCAGCACACCCAGTCCGTTGTAATTATGTGGTGATCAGGGCTGATTGCACCTGCTTATCTGGGCAGTGATACAATCAGCGATCATTCGCCAGCATGTCGTGGTGTGTGTGGTCATTTAGTGTGCATGTGTATGGGACGTTGCATGCCTGTGCTCTTCAGTGTGCTTTCTTCAACAAAAACATGATGACATGTCTGATGGATGTCTCCTCAGCGCAGCAGAGATAACAGAGTTTGTTGCTTTGCCTTGAGGCCACAGGGTTACAGATGTCATTTCAACTAACTTTATACAAGAGAGCCAATATAGGTACACCTTCCTCAGCTTTCAGTTTGGTTCCACTTAATTCAACTTTGGCCAATTTGCTTTCAGTATTAGATACAGTGAGTTTCATCAAGTGCTTTAATTTGATATATAGATCTCATTTGTCTCTGATGGCTTCCTGGCTCTGAGCCCTCTACTGTTAAATGGATAACATAGAAAGCCTATATCCTATATTACAGTGGGGAAAGTCATTATAAAACTCAAGTTCAAATAACAGCAGCTTCCTACTCTACTTTTAGCTACCTGCTGTGATGCGATTGTGGGCTCCAGCATGTGACCAGATTTTATTTGAGATATAATTCTGTGTTGCTGTCCAATGAAAGTCATGATTCTCTAAGATGTCAGCCTTTCATGAAATCAGAAAAATGGCCTTATAGGCTTCATGACAATTCATTCTTAGGCAATTTACTGGGATTTTTGAGGAGTTTTCTAACGTAAGACATAGTCAACTTTTCTGAGGTCATTTATGACTCTTTCTATCTTGAATGTTTCCTCGATGGACATTTTACATTTGTAAAAAATCCGTCGAGCCAAGAAAAGTGACGTCATCACAATGCAGGCCATGGGCCACACTGCCACAAACAAACACTACTGCTTTATATTCAGTGGGCCACATAAGTAAAAAAAAAAAAATCTAGTTCTATTGTATATCTATGCTCTGTGCTGAACACAGACTTGACATCAGCCCTCCATTCCAACTCCTAGAAGGACAAAAAATCAAAACATGAAAGTAGTAGAGCATTGCTGGGATTCTGAACTGTAATGTAAAGTGCAAATTGGAACTCCTTACACTACAAGTTTTTGAATAAATGAATCACACTACTGCAAAAAGTGTCACTGCTGTAGTCAAGACCACCATTGTTGAGTCCAAAACCAGGACTAGTTGAGACCAAGCCAAGACCTTTTCCAAAGAGGTTCGAGTGCAAGTCAAGATTGAGTCCAAATGAGAGAGACAAAATCTAGACCCAGACAGAAAAAATATGCTTTTGCCATTGCCAGTGAGATGACTTCTTGCAGCCAGGCATACAATTGCAAGTGACATTGAATGGCCACTGTTAATACCCATTCCACATGGACACATGGAAACATATATGGCTCTACTCTGGCAAGACAATTTGAATATTTGGCGAGACCACTGACCGAGTCTGAGACAAGTCTGAGTGAAAATACCAAGTTCGAGACAACAGAAAAGACGTCTAGACCAAACTCGAGTACTACAGCATTGGTAACAGTTACTGATTGGTGTCAGCATCAGCTCCTGAGTGAAGTCGGCTTTGGTTAGCAGAGGGGCCATTGTTTCTTTACTTGTGTAAAGCGTTAGCATGGACACTGAACATGAGAACCAACTGTACTTGTTTTCGGTCTGTTAAGGACTTTAAGCACTTAACTGTATTGGAAGCTTCCTCTATTCTGTTTATCTTCCAAACAGGCACTCCTATTTAAGTATAATTAATATGTAGTGGTGGCACTTCTACTTCAGTAAAATATGTCTCCTTTACCATTTATGGACATACAAGACAAAATGAGGAATATGTTCTTTCAACAGTGAGCACTTAGACTATACAATTCAATACAGTCAATCCATTTCCATTACTTGAAATAGAAACAAGGATCTAAATGAAGCAGAATAAAAAAAGCTTTGTAAAATGATTAGAAATTCTATTACACACTTGAGCACAATACCGAGGGCTTTTTTAGAACCCTCATAGTCCATTAGAGGAAATTACTTCCACACACTAAAATCAGTGCAATTTTCATATTTAATACACCCTTTTGGCCCGTGCTTCCTGCATCGGAACCTTATCACCCTCATGAAAATCTTATCCAAGAAGGCTAGTTGACTAAAGATAAATGCATATGCAAATGCTAGTGTGAAGAGTGGCTGTGGGAAAAAGAAACCTATTTATTCCGACATCTATATGTTAAGAGTAAATATTGCATAAGAGAAAACCACCCTGAGGCAGTCCACTTAATTAAAATCTTGAGTGAGATTAAACTAGGCATGAGCATTTCAGGGTATTTGGGGGGGACATACTAGAAGATTTCACACCAATACTTTCCTCACACTGAAAAAAAACATTGGATATTTGAAAGCAGGAATGTAACTGGCTGGTGTGCAAACAGGTTGTTTTCATTCGGAAAGGTCATTGGGTTGTTTTTGACTCCACATCTCGGTCAAGTGTACGCTCCAGACGTCAGCCATCCGTAAGACAGTTTATAGTGCAGAGTCACTCCAGATGGGATCCATCACTGAGACATCCAGGCTGATGCTGTTTAGTTTAACCATCTCCAGCTCTGAGAACTGCTTTCAGTTAAGTAACACTCCCCAGGTTGAGACATACACACACAGACACACGTCTCTTGGACCAAAAGTGACGAAAAATGAGCAAATCAGTATGGTAAAAGTTTATCTGAGATCATTCGTGTGAGGTTTTAGTGTTTACATACACAAACCCACAACTGTATTTAAAGATAGACACTGATCATTTGATTGTAGCATTTTAAAAGTAAAAGGGAAGTCAAAGTTTAAAGGTAATAAAGTTGTGCATATCTGTAACTCGGACAGAACAAAGGAGGATTGCAAGATGGCATAAAGGAAAAATAAATTACATAAAGGAAATGGATCAAAATATCATCTAACTTCAATTTATTGCTTCAGTCCAAACTGCACATTTAATATGAGACCTGCATTTCCATAATCCCTCATACTTTTCTCTACACTATAATAAAACTTGAGGAGATGGGGGAGTAAAAGGTGCAGTGATGAGGAGAGTGACAAATTTATTAAGTAGCTCTGGAGGACCTAAAGGTGCAAAGATACTCTGGCGACACCTACTGGCCAAAATATCCCCTATTGTAAACGCATGTCTGTCTTGTAAAAGTTTTTACAAGGGGTTATAGTCAGTGTATGAGATGTTGAGAGGAAGCTTCACGTACACCAGATGTCCATACAGAAAAGGGAATTTAATCCACAAGGAAATGATCAAATAAAATGACAGCAGTGTAAAGTGAAGCCCATGTTCATACACCTTAAGGTTTATTGGAATTAAAATTATTTATTAACAGTGTGCAGTAATTCATTTAATCAACACTTCAAGTTCGGTTTTGCCCTCATCAGAAGGGCAGGCAGCTCCCACTGTTTTATGGTGCCCTGCTCAGGTGTCCTGGCGTCATATCTAGAGAACGCTTAAGTTCCTTTATATTTGTACCTTCAGAGCATCCATTACTCTGTGCTGTGGGATGATGTCCACTACTCAGTTGTTCGTGAAACGCGCGTAACCACCACGCAACAGAAAGGACAACAGAAATACGCACAGGACAGGACCAGAAACACTTATTCTGTTACTGTTGAGTTTATAATGACCTTATCTAAACTCCTGGTGTCTGTGCAGCCCCACGCAGCCCACAGCAGATACAGAGCAGAAAATGAAATGATTGTGCATTTGTTTATGGAACAGGATAATTTCGCGTAATTATGAAGGAAAAATGCGCACAGATGAGGACTAATAAACACAATCCTTTTGCTTCTTCACTTTTAATACAACCATGCTGCTCACTTTTGAGTTTAGAATGTCCATATCTAACTCCATGATGACTTTTAACCCAAATGCAGCCCACAGTGTTTAGAGCATTTAACATTTGCTGTCGGTTCTGAACAGCAGGCAGAACATTTGTAATTTTCCCCAGGAGGAAGATCTGTGTGTGTGTGTGTGTGTGTGTGTGTGTGATCTCACACTAGCAGCGTGTGTACTCTGTGTGTGTGTGTAGAGGGGTATTAGGGGAGGGCTGGCTCTTATTAAAGCGCGGAGCTCCAGTTTGGACCTTCCCTCGCCTCAAGTCAAGGAGACAGCCGCGTGCACCCGCGCTCGGTTATCTGGCGGCCCCCCGCTGGTTCCAAGCTCACTAGTATCAACACCACACACTGATCCGGGAACAGCAGCAGCAGCTCCTCTCTCCCATCTCAGCACCCGCCTCACCGTGGTGCGTCCCAGACGCGCTCTCTCCAGTTCAGGATGGACTCGCCTCCTTCTCTTCACCTTTCCCACTGACTGTGACGCTGCTGTAGTTTGGTGGGAGTTCCCGGGGAAGGAGCTGGAACTGATCCTCTGTCCGCTGTTTCGCCTTTCCACTGGGTTTTTAATTTGATTGAACTGTCACTGTACACTCATCCGCGGGCTCCGAAATGGGAATGTACATACATCTGCTGCTTTTGCAGTACTATTTCGTCTCGAGTTTTGTGTGCAATGCCGTCGCTTTCGTGGAGGAACCCTCCGGGGGCAGGTCGGACGGGTACTGCGGGCGGATCCTCCGGGCGCCGACACATGGGACCCGGAAGGATGGCCACCATGAGTTCAGGCTCAGAGTGGAGGGGGACCCGGAAACCTACCAGCCCGCCAGCACCTACAGAGGTAGAGTTTAGTGTCCATCTGCGCAATCAGTGCGTAAACCTGCGCCAAATTGAACAAGTGGACTGTTTGTGAAGTTGGAAATCAGAGCATGTTTACTCTGAAATTCATAGAAATCTTTATTTTGTTTTATGTATTCAAACTTGAGTATGACTAACCACCCATAAGACTGTAAGCAATAGCCACAGTAAACTAAAATTGGACTAGAAATCGCAGCCAGGAGGACACAGATCACCAACTAGTCAGTCTGCCGCCTCTGGCCCCTGCAGGGAGAGTTGTGGTTTGATAAGGCTACTTAGTGTTATAATGTTTGACCTATATTCACTTCCTCTCCTCTTTCTGCAAGCAAAGAGACACACATACAAACACTCACAGAGGGAGATACACACAGACACACACACACACACACACACACACACACACACACACACACACACACACACACACACACACAGAGAGAGAGAGATCTGGCTCCAATTAAGCTGACCCCTACAAATTTAAAGTCCCTATCCTGCCTGATGAATTTGGCTACATAAAGAAAGACTTTGGCCTACTCACAGAGGTTCTTGGTGAGTTTAGAAGTTACACTAAGCAGTTTTGAGCTCTTACAGTTATGAGACCCGGCATGGTGCAGTTTTGAAACAGGCTTCAAAACGAGGAGCAAAATCAAGGGTCACCTTGTCTAAAAGTCCCCCCACTGAGATCATACTCCGGATCATGCAAGTTTTGGCTGTGACGCCACATTTAGCAATTCAGGGCAAAATTCTAATCAGCTACGTGTGAAGGACACCACCCAAGGAAATAAAGAAGTTATTTACCAAACCTTTACAGCCTTTAAGTAGCGAATAAGTTCACTTAAAAAAACAAAAATAGATAAGATTGAAAATATTGACATCTTCCTTCTCAGCACCGGGAGCAAGTTTTAAGATAAATGAGCTCGTTTGAAAATGCAAGGTTAGGGCACAAGGGTGAGCCGAATAAAATTTCACCCACATCTCATTATACGGCTCCTGTTCCTGGCCCGTTCCCCGCACCAAACTCTCTGTATGAGATTTATAGCCTCTCTTTTATTCCAGTGTGAGATGCTAAGCCTCTTTTTACAGCCATCACATTGAATACTGCTTCCCTGTGCGTTTCCCTGGCATCATACGGGGTGACCCTGCGTCATGCAGTGCCACTCTTGTGTGTCAATGTATGTGCCTCTTTACTGCTCAGCTTTTAGTAAATACATGCTTTCTTTCTGCTTTACAGTGGTACTCCTGGCAACCAGCCCTGCTTATTTCAGAGGTTTTACCCTCATCGCGCTGAAGGAGGGCAGAGAGGGCACCACAGACGACGACTACGCCGGCCAGTTCCAGGTAAGGATAAGCAGGTGTGGAGAGGAGAGGAGGAATCGCTGCATACTGAATGTGCTCTGCTGAGCTTTCTGGGAAAGTTCACAAAGGATGAACTCATTTGCATGCTATAATGCACATGGCAGTCGACTTAGCAGCTCCCCGCTGTCTTCTGATATGGAGGTTAAAGGAGGTGTTGCTGACAGATGCAACACGGCTCCCCTGGATGACGCTGGAAAACTGAGCTCTCCTGTTGTGGCAAAGAAGAAAAGAGAATCTAGTTGCCTCTTTGGTGCAGCTCTTCTAGGCTGAGGCAGACACGGCATCCTTCTCCCTAAGTGGCAGATATTTCCTCCAGCGGAAGAAGGAGAGGGCGAAGGAGAAGGCAGGGGAGGAAAGAGAGGAAGAGGCATGTGAGGACAGAGAGAAAAGAGATAAACAGAGAGAGTTGGAGAGAAAGCAGGAGCGAGATGTGAGATGTTTGGTTCGGTAGTAACACAGCTCCCACTGAGCAGCAGAGGAGAGAGCCAGACTTCCTCAATTACCTCCTGCTCAGTGTAAACAGGAACACACATCTGTAGCTGTGTTGCCACATGCTGATCCTAACCAGACTCTTACCAAACAGAGCAGGAGGCTGCTTTCATGTAGCCAACAATTTAAAGAGAGAACTGAGAAGATTTTGCTTCTTGGTTCCACCGACTTTGAAACAAATCATGTTTGTTGAGACTTTGTAGTGATGCTAACATGCAGACACAACAGAGCATGCAACGTATTTACCCAATTCTTCACCTAACTAAGATCCTCCTTTTTATCATGTTGGCAGCATCTATGTTTGCCAGCACTTCTGTGCTTGGGTTATAAACAGTTCGGGTTCCCATAGAGTAATAACAAATGTTTGATGTCATTTGTGTGTCAGTGTCATTAATTTAAGGTGTCCTGTGGAGTTTGTGACCACTAGTAGTGCTATGGAGCAGTGTTTTGCTTTGTATCATGCACAGACATGCAAACAGATAGATGCAGGCAATGCGATACACACTCCTCTCCTTCATTGCCTTCTCTCGGTCAGGGGTGGGAATTTTAAAGATTTTATCTATACCAATTCCATTTATTATTGATTCTGCCTATTGTTCTGATTCTTTGTCAATTCCCTTTTTAATTATAAATGAGGCCACGCTTCGGATTGTTTTTTACTTTCTGCCATGACTTCTTGTTGAAAGTTTCCAGCAGCATAGACACATGAGTTTGACAATATGCTGGCACTGATAAAAGGAATTGATCACCTCGGTGGCATACAATTTAAATGGATTGGAAAATTTGGATCTGGTTCTCGATTCCCATCCCTAATCTTGGTTTCTTCCCGGTGTCACAATTCTCTTCTCCTGATTTATGCCCTAAATCTTGACTGTAGGGCTGTATAACTGCAGAAATATGTGGACACAGACGCAGCACATCATATAGTGGAGTGGATTGTTTTTACTCTTTAGACTGTGTTTGCAGCTTCAGTTGATTATAATGGACGTGCTCTGCTGCAGGCATGCTGCGGTTGCTGATACCATAGATAAGCAAATGTACATGGTATGATAACTGTCAGTTTTTATACAATGGTATACAGTGGTATCGGTATACCGCTGCAACCCTGTTTTTGAGATCATTTATTCATTTACTGTCAACCCTTTTGTCCCTTGGTGGCTATTAGAAGATATGATAATGAACCAAAAGTTCCCCTTGTTTCTCTGTAGTCTCTATAGTCAGCCAAACAGTGTAGAGAGCTTGGTTTCTGACGCTGAAACTATATATTTTGTGTGTTGACACTAATTGTTTTCTTTGTTCATTAACTTCTTCTTTCATTCACTGTACTCCTTGTGCTAGCATATGCATTATATGGCATAAAGTCTCACGTGTCTGGCCGTGGTTCAACCCTTAGCATCTTGCAGCAGCGTTGCCTCTGGGTTTACTCTCTAACTTTTCCAACCACGAAATTAAAATGAAAAGTCTTTGCAAGTTTACACACTGCTCTACAAATGATAAAAGAAATAACAGCTACTGGATGAATAATACAAAATAAGGAATACATTTTTAAAAACAATTGGGGAGAATAAACTGGTCTGAAAAATTGTGTTCTTAAGGTTTAAAGGTCCAGCATGTAACATTTAGGTGGATCTTTTGCCAGAAATTTAATACCATATGCATTACTATGTTTTCATTAGTGTGTAATCACCTGAAAATAAGTCTTAAATTCAGTTTTTGTTACCTTAGAATGAGCTGTCTATTTACAGATGCAGCGGGTCCCCTTCAGTAGAGTCCGCCAATGTTGAATCACCATGTTTCTATAGTAGCCCAAAAGGGACAAATCAAGCATTGGCTCTAGATAGGGGCGTTTCACAACCCCTGTAGTTTCTCCTTCCTGCTCAGAAGGTGAGGGTGAAACAAGGGAGTTGCAATCTCGAACTGCATACTGGTCCTTTAAAAGTTGAGTGACTTTGTTCGACCCAAACAGGATAGATAAAGCTGAGAAGTCTGGAAAACATAATTTTCTCTACTTAAATAAATGATATAATAAATAAATGAGTTCTCACAAACCAGCTTGTGTGAAAGCGAAGATAACAGAGAACTACGTTGTTTTCAGTGGAACCTTGGTCTGTATTGAAACAGTTCAAACCCAAAGATCTTAGCTCACTCCGCTCTATTTGATTTCTGCTCCTTGCACAATAAACACCTCGCAGTCTCAACCTCAGAGTCCCAGCAGAGTCTGCAGTGAGGCTGAGACCAGGCAGTAGGCAGTGAGCAGAAACTGGAACAGTGTGGGCTGAGCCTGAACAAAATTAAAGTTGACAATCTGGCTTTACAATCTGTTTAATACATATTGGCAAATCCATCAGACAGTTTTTGTTCTGTAATTGACAGTTGTAATTGACACTTTTATCCACATGTGGAGAATGATTAAGGCCTCTAGAGATAAGCTGCTGTCAAAACACTGTGTGTTTAAAGAATATATTCGGTTCGGAAAAGTTCTGAGAAGCTGACTGTATGAAAGATGTGTCCTACATGACGCTATGTTTTAAGGACACTACGTTAAATCAATGAAAACTTTATTTTGGTTTCATGTAGAAATAGAAATTAGTTTCGGAATGATTTCATTTATTAAATACGCCGTCCTTTGTGTCCCAGTTATATTAGCGGGTCGATAAGAGAAGATGCAGCATGACAGCGAGTCTGGCTTTTTATCTAAATGACCTCAATCCATCAAACTCAGCTTCTTTTTATCAGAGAGGTTTACATAATAATACTTGTGTAAAATAAAGTTTATATAACAATTCATATTCCTGACAGTTTATTTTTCACAAGTTAATTATGTGGCTAGTTTTGCAATGTCATGATTGTTATTGGGCAGTGGAAGAGGAGCCAAATGAGCGCAGTTGTGGTTCCCCATACGGCTGTTCTCTCTCCTCCCTTTCTGGTACTGGGTTGTTTCTGGCAGCTGTCCTGGAATGTGCCCGCCTGCTGTTTCACTAAAACACCACAACAGAGAGTTGCTGCTCATTGTTTTTTCCTTAAGCAATAATCTGCTCTTTGTCTCCATTACTACCATTAAAGGGCTTCTGTCTTAATGTGTCAGAGCTTGGAGAGCATTTCTGCGAAGGGTGCATCTGTGTGTGCACGACTCAGTATCCCACTGAGTCTGAAGTAATTGTCTGCTTGGAAATGTATGTCTTTGTGCTTACATATGCACCGAATGGGCATGTGGGTATACGTGCGGGTCTGTATGTGTGTTTTTCCCAGCCCTCTTTGCATTAGTGTGGGATGTCGGTCATATTTATCTAGGCCAGCAACGTGTTATTGCTCAGGGAGACAAACGGAGCTTGTTTGGATAAGGGAAGAGATGAGCAGACATGAGATATTATCTTCTTTTTTTCCTTTGCACAGATTATCTAGGGTTCTGAGTTTAGCTGGGGATAAACAAACACAATCAGTTTAAAGTGCCACAGCTAAGTCATAGGTTTCAGATAGAGGAAATTACATGAGCCAAGCAGGGCTTAGAAGGCTTTAAAGAAAAGGACGAGTAGGATGTGTGTAGAGTTGGAATGATGGTGCCCTGATATCTAACATAATCACACTTGAATGTGATCCTTAAGTAATTATTGCCTCTCTAAGTACCAAAGATAGATACACGCAGGATTGTGTAGTCTCGCACCCCTCCCTGTTTTTGTGATTAACGGGAATTTACAAGGACAACTATGTGCTTATTTTCTTCAAGGAACTTGAGCTAGAAGACGCTTAACACATCTTTATTTATTATGCTTGACAAGCCGGTTGGTTCAGATGCTTGAGGTCTGCATAAATAATGTTGTACTCTGCACTGATTATGGCTTATTACTGTAATACATAATGCATCAAGACTATGAGTGTGAGGCAATTATTTCTTACTTATTGATTGGTTAGGGATTCAGCTATAAGTTCACAAGGAGGTGACAAATCATTTTGGGGTGATTGTGAATTGATGTAAGAAATGTGAACAAAATGGATTCATGAAATGAAATGTTTTTTTTTTGTATAAATGAATTGTCATTATGCTAATCTGTATCATAGATAATCGGGGTATCAAACTATACCTAGAATGCTTGTTGCCTGGTAGCTTTTTCTCTGCACAGGATCTGATTTAAAATGTTAATATAACTTGCTAGTTTTTTAGCATGAGCAATGATAGTAAATATCACTGGCTAATTCTGAAAACAGTATGTCCCACCACCCCCTTGTAGTCGGCCCAAACAACAAATAGAAGTGCTGCAACGAGAATATGAGCCCTCACTGGCATCCCACCTATGAACATTCATTTATAGAACACAACAATAAAACCAGATATACCAGTAATGGGAATTAGGCCCTGGGTTTCTGTAGTGGGCAAAAATATTGCCTCAGTACCACTTGTACATATGCCAGCTCACAGTGTTTGACTGACAGTTGATCTGTGGAAGTGCAAAAACTGCATCATTTTTTATTTCCAACAGCAGCAAACAGTGGTTGTT